TTGTGGGCGTGGCTTTGTGGGTATGGCAGGGGAAGGATACTGCAAACTCCCCATTCCTTCCCCACTCCTGGGGGAAGGTTACTGCAAAATCTCATTCCCTCCCCACCCCACTAACCTGCTTTCCAGATCCGTTCTCCTGTTCAGGGCAACAAAAGATTTAAGTTATAGAAAGATAGATTTGGACTAATTATTAAAAAAAAATGTAATAACAGTTTAACTATGCTGAGCAAATGGGTTCATAGCCTAAAAAGACTCTTCCAAATGTACGATTTTAAGATACTGCAACTGTGGCATTCACAGAGGTTATGAATCTAAACTCTATATTTACAAAAAGTTTGCAACTAAATGCCAGCCTACAAGGTGGTCTATAATAAGAAAGAATGCCTTTAGGGTCTTGATCAGTGATGGGTTTCAAATTCCCTAGTGACCATCTGGGTAGGCATGGCTCAGTGGTCATGTGACAGGGTGGGCATGGCCAACTCAACGTCACTCAGGTCAAAGAAAATCAGCTGAGAGGCTAGGAGGCAGCAGGGGTAGGGCCAGCTATTTGCCGGTTCTCCGAACTACTCAAAATTTCCGCTACTGGTTCTCCAGAACAGGTCAGAATTGGCTGAATACCACCTCTGGTCTATTCAGATAGCCAGATTCAAAACATGGCTGGGTATCTGCGTGTTTAGCAATAGGATAGAAAAGGCACTTTCAATTTTGTGCAGCGTCATCTATGCTATACTTAATGAATTTGGAGTTGCACATAGACTTAAGTTCAGCTTCCCTTCCAAAAACTTTCTTCGTGGGATCACAATTAAATACCCACTAATAATGACATGTCCACAGTTCCAACAGCATTGAAACACACCCACATAACAACAACTTTTCACTGACTAGTGCAAACTTAAATTATTGTGTTACAATTCAGTTGTTTTACCTTTTCCTTACAGGTAGGGTCTTTGTCCATGAGTGGGCTCATCTCAGATGGGGTGTCTTTGATGAATATAATTATGATGCTCCGTTTTACGTTACTAAGGAAAAGAAAGTTGAGGCAACAAGGTATCTTCCTAGACTTAAATTAACCTAATATGCTACAGTGACTAGACTTTAGTACTTCATCAATTTTCTATCTACTTGCCTCTTGATCAAGGATACAACTATTATCCAAACAATTATTGTCACTCTCTTGGTTTGTTAATTGTAAATCCCTTTCAATTATTAAGCTATCAAGCCAATGGTTTCTTTTGTATATCCAGTGTGACATCTTTTTCCATATCATGGGAAGTTTTGTTTATAATTAATTCAAAAAACATATTTCAAAATTATCTGGGCTCTTAGTCCATTTGTTTTGCTGTTTCTTCAAAAAAACCTTTTTTTTCGTTCTTAAACTTGTAGTTTAAAGATTTTCAGTCACTAAGGATTGAAGGAAATTTACCTGGTGCTGTAAAACAAGTGAATCCCAAGCTTCCTAATAGCTGAAATGCTGTTAACAAGTAATTTCCAAAAGTGATTAGAAAAGGAAGGATGCAAACTTAGTCCACTGTCATTTGAGCAAGATGGCTAACCCCTCTTCTCCCAGAACTCCTCCAAGGATCCTCATCTTGGGAAGACCATTGGTGGGTGAACTCTCTCAGAGTTAGTCTATTCACAGATCTTTATTCCGCTATGGTGGCCAGCTTTATTTTTCTTGAGTCCATCTTCAGTTCCCCATTTCTTCCCTAGAAGTTTCTAGAAGTCCCTCCAATATCAACGTTCAAAATTGTAAATACTCTTTTTCAAAGTTCAACCTTGCAAAATATCTCCTGACTTGGAAGGGAGACCAAGAATCACTCGAGCTTTAGGCTAAGCTGGGAAATTGAAAAACTTTCTGGAACAAAGCAACAGAAAACCACTTGAGTACTCTTGCAAAGAAAATGAATTGAATGTACCCCAAAAGTTATCAGAAGTCAAGCTCGACTTGAAACAAAATTTCTCTTTTTATATTGATGTTATCATTTTTCATTTGTAAATTATGTATATTTTTATTATGTCATTTAGATGTTCAGCTGGTGTCACTGGTATTTACATATTTCCAACTGGACCAGGAAATCACAGAGATTGCATATTCCTGGAAGACACTCAGATGTATGAACCGGGATGTCAATTTGTAGCAGATATATCCCAAAGCACTCCAGTGTCTATAATGTATATGCAAAGTTTACCTTCTGTAAGAACAACTAATGTAAAGCATTTAAGTTGATCCGATATTTGTCCTGAATTGTCCTGATGAATTCTTATTTTTATATTTTTAGGTGGCTATGTTCTGTGATAAAAGCAATCATAATATTGAAGCACCAAATCTGCAAAACAAATTCTGCAACTACAAAAGTACGTGGGAAGTAATTATGAATTCCACTGACTTCGCCTCCTCATCTATAATAAATACTCCTCCACCTGAGCCCACTTTCACCTTGATGCAAACACGTGACAGAGTTGTCTGTTTAGTGCTTGATGTCTCTGGAAGTATGGCAGGTGTAAGTGTTGCGTTAGAAAATTCTTTTAACAAAAAACTTCAAAATGATTTTTATAGGAATGCTGGGTTATCTGTTAATTAATTACTGATATTTAACCACTTCTAATTCATATGCGCTTCTTTTCATAAACATTAGTATTTATCAAACTGTAGTAAATTATAGTTGCTTAACTGTTGTGAAAAAGGGAAAGTTATCCAAGAGGATAGATATGATCCAAGATGTTATACAGGGTTTTGTAAGACAGTTGGAGAGCGGGGAAGATGTCCATGCTGTATCCACACATCTGATTTGTCGTGCCCTCTTTCTGTCCTCAACTGCTACCCTAAAAGCCCCACACCATCCACTTAGTGTCCAGTTAGAAAGGGTTTGTGGGGTGTTGCTGTCTATAAAGTAGTATGGAACATGGAACTTTGCAACATTTCAATGATTGGTCATTCCCCAAGTGAAAGCTCATCTTCACAAACATCATTCACTGTTTGAAAAGCCTCCTCCAACTGGCACATGCAGTTCTCTGGGGTTCCTCTATCACTGCATTTTCTTCTTCTTCTTTCTTATTGTACTATTGTCCAACTACATTTTCAAACGTAACTCTGGGTCAGCCATCAGCTGTTTGACCACTCGATCATTTAGGCAGCAATACATTAAGTTTTTAAATCGTTAGGCACCATTTTTTGCTGCTGGATAAAGATTTTTGGACTGATGGTTTAAGAAGGATGTTTAGATGTAGGGAATCAATGTGGACGCTGGAAACTACCTTAAGAAGATTATTTGAGGAAAGAAAGTGAAGAGCCAGGCTTCCCTAGGAACAGCAATGACTGAAAAGGGAATTCCCTGTGATATAGGTCAGAGAAGTACAGGCAGTCCTTGACTTACGATTAAAATTGAACCCAAAATCTCTGTTGCTAAGCGAGACATTTGTTGAGTTTTGTCCCATTTTATGACCTTTCTTGCCACTTTCTTGTTAAGTGAATAACTGCCAGGAAAAAAGTTAGTAACCCAACTGTTAAGTAATCTGGCTTCCCCATTGACTTTGCTTGTCAGAAGGTCGCAAAAGGAGATCACATGATCAAGGGGATGCTGCAAAGGTTGTAACTCTGAAAAATGGTCATAAGTCCCATTTTTCAATGCCGTTGTAACTTTGAACACTCATTGAAGGAAATGTTGTTAGTCAAGTACTACCTATACAAAGGCCAAGTCCTCTTTGCCTTAAGCCAGGAAAGCAATACTTAATTTCAGAGTTTCATGCTTTCTCATCCAGCTAACCATCAGTTGACCAATTCATTTTAAAATAGAAAAAAAAAACCCACAGGGGAGCCAGAGAAGGCAGTTTCTCCCAAATAGCATAAATGTTTAGTTACAGATTTTGAACAAGTTGTTGGAACTTTTGAAATCAGGGTTGGATGAAGGCCAACTATTTCTGCTTTTAAATTGATTTGGTCAAAGGAAAGGCATTTGAAATGATTGTTCAGACAGTATTGACAACTGTCAACTTTGCCCTTCTTCCTCATCTTGCATATCTTTTTCTTTCTATGCAGTATGACCGCATTGCTCGTCTCCGGCAAGCTGCAGAAGTGTTCCTCCTACAAATTATTGAACTTGGTTCCTGGGCTGGAATTGTAACGTTTGAAAACTCTGCCACCGTTCAGACTCAATTGCAACAGATCATCAGTGACAACATACGACAAAATCTTGTGAATTATTTGCCTACCACAGCTAGTGGAGGGACTAATATTTGTGCTGGAGTGCGCAAAGGATTTGAGGTGAAAGAAAACATATTCCTATTACTTTTATTTCTTTTTTTACCCCTAGACATATGTTGTATAGTGAGCTCATGCAGATTTTTAAAGAGAAATATGAAGCAATTATATCATCCCATCACTGTAATTTTTTTTCAGCCTCATAAAGCTGGGTTGGCAATATTCACAGGTACCACAGCTTTTATAGATGCCTACTTATGTCTAAAGATGCCTACTTAAATAGATGCCTACTTTAATAGATGCCTACTGTGTCTGCACACAGACATATTTTAAAATGACAAATCTCATTATCACTGTGTTCTTTTATGGAGATCTGATGGCATTTTGATCATTTTTTTAAACATACATTTTTTAGCATACAACTTAACAACCACCCTTTTCTACATTTGTTGCAAATTAAACACCCACTCACAGAGAAGAAAACATAACATTACAACATGACACCACAACGCTACTCTCATCAATGCGACACACTTTATAAGATCTTATGGATTTTGTCCATTTTACACGGCAGTTCTGGCAACTACTGAAATGGAATTGCAGTGATGTACTGCAAAAAAGAAAAATGAAAGATTCACATCTGAATAGAGATTTTGAATAAACTAAAGCAATATTACACATATTGTATGTTGTCTTGGTTCTAAGGCCAATTAAACAGAGGAAAAACAGGGAAAGATAAAGAATTAATAGCACATTATCCCACTGAAATTTATAATATCATTTCTCTCTTTCTTTTCTTCTCTCTCTCTCTCTCTCTCCTCTTTCTCTTTCTGACTTTATAAGAAACACAGGAAGTAGCTAGTCTTGCTTTTATTACATAGGTAAAGATTCCTAAGGAATGCAGCACTGCTTTATGGCAGTTGGGAAAATGTGCTGTATTTTTTATTACAAATTATTTATATAATTATTCTATGGATTTTATCCAACTTCTTACTTTTAAAAGAGCATTCCGTGAATTTTGTACTGCATTCCTTGTTCTGCTAATATTTTATTTTATTTTTTTTTTTAATACAGGTGATTAGATCAAGAGAAGCAACTACTGAAGGGTGTGAAATTGTGCTCTTGACAGATGGAGAAGACTCAACAATAGGATATTGCTTTGATGAAGTTAAAAGTAGTGGATCAATAATTCACACCATTGCTTTGGGGCCAAGTGCTGCAGACGAGTTAGAACAACTGGCAGAGATGACAGGTAAAGAAAGCTATATACTTTGAACGGCTTCCAGAGTTATGCAATAACAAATGGTGATTCAGAAAATGTGAACTTATCCTCATAGTCATGATACTGTGTGTCATGTATTCTACTGTCAGGTATTCTAAAATGATACCCACAGTGTCAATACCCAAACTTTATTAGTTCTACTTCCTTGTCCCATTCTCATTGCTCTCCCTTGTGTTTTAGATAATTTCTAAAATATGTTGTCCTGATTACACATACAACACAACAGTCTAACTTGATTATGAAGAAAACAGTGAAGAAAGGAATAAGGACCTAAGTCTTCTTAAACATAATAATCTCAAGTTTAAATAAATAATTTATTTGTATAGCACAAGGTCAATCAAACTTGTCCGAAAACAGACTTTTGCCTCCCAATTATCAATGCAAAATATCATCCCAAATATTCTGAGATCACCAAACTTTGCACAAACTCAGTAATCTTACTCTTCAGTCTTGTTGACCATATCATCTAATTCATTCTTGTTTGTTTAAATAAAGGAGAGTCTGAACCTCCAGAGAAGAAATGGTAAATTGACCAAAACTGCAGTAGAATGAAAAGCCAGGTAGTAAACCAGCTCTTCATAATTTCTTCCCAGAGAAGGACTTGAGATCACCCAAAAGTGCTCCAAACAATTGCTCCTTGCAAGGAGACTGCAAAACTGTAGTCTTTGGCACATTTAGAGCTCTGGGAGACAAGGAAATAATCATCTTACTCAAACCATGATCGGTGCCTTCTAAAGGACACTCAGTTCACATACTTTCTGGGGGGAAATTGCTTGTTGACTGCTTTTCTGCTATTGGGAACCTTTCGACTGATAGGTTTTATAGCACTGTGTGAGTTTCCTTCAATCCTCAGTGTAAGAATATTTAATTAAAATTTCAAGGTTTTTTTTTTCTTTTGGAATAAACAGTAAAAGTTACAAACAGACTAAGAGTCCATATAACTTTGAAGTAAGATTTTGAAATTAGTGACAAGAATACTTCTGCTAAATATTAGCTGACAATTGAAAGAAGCAACTCTGAGGTAACACAGAACCTGTTTATGAACTTCTAACAGCAACAGAACTATATCTCAACAACTTCAGCACCACACTCTGCTTGACAGCTATTTATACTAGAGCTGTCGAGCAGAACAACCAATCAGATAGCTGTAAACGTCCCACTTCAGCCAGGTGCATCTTAGCCAATGGGAGCTGTCCTCTGGTTACCAGGCTGTCAGGTCGTAAGTCGAGGACCTGGTGCCTGGTTGTAGGTTGAGGACTTTGTGCTGGGGGTAAGTCGAGGACTTAGCAACTTCCATGGGGAAATGCTTTTGTTTTGAATTCTATTTTGGAAAAAAAACTATGATAGGATGAGATTTTGACGGTTGGATACTAGAAGGAACCATTATTACACTTAAAAGAGGAGAAAATTTGACTTATTAATTAAGAATGATTTTTTTTAATGGACATATTGAACAATATTTTTGTTTGCTCCTATGTATAGACTCTGTTTCAAAGATATTATGAAAGAAGAACAAATTTTAACTGACAAGATTGAGACTGAACTGAAAAAGGATGTATGTATGTATGTATGTATGTATGTATGTATGTACGTATGTATGTATATATGTATCAGTGACGTGCAGTCACTGGAGGCAGGGGAGGCGGGGCCTCACCAGTCTCCTGAGGAAAAGGAAACAATTTTTAAAATAATTAAAAAGATGAAGGTAGTTGCTGCCAAGTCACAGTGACTCTCAGTCTGCTTAGTGCTAACTGTAGGAGGAGGCGAGAGAACTATGGCCCTCCTTTGCATAAGGA